AAAAAAAAAAAAAAAAAAAAAAAAAAAAAAATTCCGATCACTATAAGCAAACTACAACTGGCTATCTGCGACCCTCAACAAATCCAGTGGTGACACCTGTAGTTCCAACAGTGAAAGTTCTTCTGTACGGTCTACATTAGTGGAACTTACTGCCGAGCTGGAAAGAAATCGAGAGCATACACCACTGCACAACCAAACTTCTGTGAGCATCACTCTCCTAGACAGAAGTCGGGAAACGACGACGACAATCCAAATAGAATTCTTACGCATATTCGACTTGCAGTTCGATCACTGTAGGCAGGAAATGGCGGCAAATTCAAATCTCCATTGCCACAGTCGACCTTCTTTTTAATGGCTGCCGATACTTAACTGAATAAATTGCGGATTGGATTTTGACTGGTTGGAGGGATCGCTTTGGTGAGGTGTCTGAAGCTAAAGGGCTTCTACAGAAACGGGAAAGGCGCCTGAGAAGGTTGGTACAGTGAGCGACAGTTCAAACAGAGGTCATAATGTATTTTAATCAAAGCTTTTGCAGTCATGTTTCCAGGCAATCAAATGTCCAAATTTTTGTAGTACCATTTTACGTCTGTATCATGATCTGCTGGCAACCCGTCTGCCTTTTCTGATATAAACTTGCTTATAAAGGCTTCTATAAGGACCGAGGAGCTTGAGTCAAATCGTGAGCGAGCGATACGGAACAAAAAATTTTTACATCACTAAGGCAGTTTCAATTCTAAATGGCGAATTTGCTGCAAGTTGAAAGGAAATTTGTGAAGTTGTTTTGTGGATAAAGTGTTTCCGTGAATATGTTTAACGGTTATACAAGCCTTCTTATCGAATCTTTTAAAAACTAGCCCTCAAAAAATATTTACAGACGTGGAGCAATAACATCGTCAGAGAGATAAAAGGAAGTCGTTTTCAAGCGGACGTGTAAAAAAATAATAAGCTATTAAGAAATTTTTGTGGTGGGAGATAATAAACCGAAAACCTTAACATATGTTGCTTGAGGACAATACAGACAGTCTTGGGTCCTGATTTCTTCGTGAGATTCCAAAAATTTTCCGGCATTGTCTGTGTAGTTCTATCGGAATACACTTTTGAAAGCTTTTATTTTGCAGCACTAAAAAAACCGTACAGTGTAAAAAGTTGGTTTGTCACCATGTAACTTTGTTCTGTTTTTTTATCGCCATTTTTCAGGCTATCGTTTTACGGTTAACTTAACTGCTCAAGAGAGTAAGCAGTAAAATTTAGCTTCCGATATCCAATTCTGTATAAAAATGCCTTCGATTGTTGTCAATTTTTCAGGATGACGATCTGATCTTTTAAACCAACTGCTGGTTGGTTAAAGTTAGTATTTCAGCAAGTGAAGTTAGTTAATTTTGAAACTGCGATCAAAAAGTTTCTGTTGAAGTACTTCTACAATCGGCATTGGCATTTGTAATAACAGCTCTTTTTAATAACCGAATTGACCACTGGGTGATATCTCAACTGCTTCATTTGGCTGGGCGCAATAAAATTTTACCATTTTTTTTCAAAAGTCAACTCCTGTAGGTTTTCCAGGTTTATAACATCTCAATTGCTTCAATGTAATTGTTAGTTTTTCTCTTGAATAAAGCCGCTGCTTTATCCACACTTTTTTTTTCAATTTGAGGATAGCATTCAAGTAAGAAGAGGTGAGTGATAGACGTTTGGGGACTGTGATTTTGGATTAGCTTAAGTTAAAGCTTTGAAATACCTCAAGAATTACAAACGGGCGGTGGTTATTGATACACTTTCTTACCGTTATTTTCATATGTCCTATTTCTTTTGCCTCGCCTTCTTCTCTATATTCTAAACAGAGTATTCAGAAAGGAAACAATGATGAAATTTAACCACACAGCCACTGATTGCTGATGAACGACAAAAATATTGGGAATTTTCGATTAAAATTTTTTGCATTGAAAGTAAAATTTACGGAAATTTTGGATATGTCTTTTTCAATTGTCTTGGAAATCACTAGCCTCATGTTGGTTGCTTATTAAGCCGTACTAAT